CCCCTTTCACTAAGACTCAAAAAGTTCACTGGTATTTCCGTTGTTCTGTGGTTATGCTGAGGTGTTCAGAACTTAGTTACACGTGTGAAGTAGATTGTAGAACTAAAGTGTTTTAATAGAGTTCCAGAATTCCGTGAAGGTAAAGCGTGTGGTTGTCACTAGTCTGAGTCCTTGCCTTGCTCACTCTGGGACCCCGGCTTTTGGGGGAGAAGCTTCCAGTGGAGATGTGCTGTAAGCAGGAGCCAGCTCCACTTGAGGTCGCCGCCAAGCTGGTGCCAGGCGCTTTCTTGTAGAATCACCGCCCTCCGAGGTCCTCTCTCACTCTGTATCTTAGTATCTAAAACAGTGCTGTGTCTGGAGCTCCAAGCTCTACAAATGTGACCTGTGCCTGTGCCTGGCCTTGAGGAGTGTAGGTTTTTCCCCTTCCGGTAGTTGAAGGTAGAGTGAACTCTGTGTGCTCCAACTTGAGGTCGCCGCCAAGCTGGTGCCAGGCGCTTTCTTGTAGAATCACCGCCCTCCGAGGTCCTCTCTCACTCTGTATCTTAGTATCTAAAACAGTGCTGTGTCTGGAGCTCCAAGCTCTACAAATGTGACCTGTGCCTGTGCCTGGCCTTGAGGAGTGTATGGTTTTTCCCCTTCCGGTAGTTGAAGGTAGAGTGAACTCTGTGTGCTCCGTTGATGTGAATGACTGTGTTCATGTGCTGCTGTGGGGTCGTGCCTTTTGCGGTATATGTCATTTCTATGAGTGTATGCGGTGTAAAACTGCTTTCTGAACCTGCCAGCTGTTGATGGACTTAGTTTATTCTCAGCTGACTTTGTTTCCACCTCCCTCCAGCACACAGCTTGCCTCTGCAATGCCGTCATCGCCTTGCTGAAAGTTCCTCTTTCATTTCAGAGATATTTTTTCCAGAAACTGCAGTCTACCAGCATCAAGGTAAGACAGAAAGAGTACCTAAGGTTAATGCCAGTTTTTAAATCAGCTAGCTGGGGCTGGTGAGATGACTCAGTGGATGAAGTTGCCCACTGCCAAGCATGACACCAGCGTTCAATCCCTGGGACCCACATGATGGAAGGAGAGAACCAATTCCTGCAGATTATTCTCTGACCTCCACAAGTGTGCCATGGCACCCACACCCTGGTGTACACACACACACACACACACACACACAAATAGAAGTAATAAAACCCAGCTATCTTCTGAAGATTTGGTGGGACATAGCTAAGCTTTAGTATCTTACCTTTGGCTTTGATAAGAATTTAGCTATAAGCTGTAGTTGTCTTTCCTCCCTTTATCGAGGAATCTGAACACTAAAGCCTCTTCCTTAATGCACAATGGCCATTTGGGTAAGGGACGCATGTCTGTTGCCTCTCGCCCCAGGAACAAGTACTGACTATTGGAGCTGCCTGCCAGGATCTGGAACAGAGTCGGTGTCTAAGCACTGACCCAGCTTCAGCTGCATCTATATTGCCAATTGCCTTGCAAGCACTCTTGCCTTTGAATGACACATTTGGAGAACTGAGCTGTAGAGAGAGTTAGTATATTGTAATATTTAAGCCACTCAAAATTCAAAAACTATTTTTGATTCAAGGAGTAGAATTTTTGGGAAAGTTGGAAATCATCTCTTCAAAGAGTACTTGGATTCTGCTGTCAGTGAATGTCGTAAGCAAACTTTTGCCTCCATTTAAACACTTCTAATTGCAAGTAACATTTCAGAATGACCATAATAAGAAAGTTGATTATGGAGTTAGGCATAAAGCAGACCGACCGTTGGCTGGTGACCAGGCTAGAGGCTCAGCAGCATCCAGTCAGTCTCTGTTTTCATTGAGCAAGCCCAGAGCTTTCTGTAGTTGGGGTGTATTTGGGATCGTTAATATGTTTTTAAAGAAAAACTACAAGGGCTCAAGGTTCAGTCTCTAGCACACCTCTCCCCAAATGGTTTTTTAGGTTCGTTATAGAAACTGACTTTTTATACAGTAATAACTTCTTGTGCAAGTAATCTTAGAACTTTATTTCCATTTGAATTTAGTCTATTTTAAATTACTTAAGAGAGTTGAACAACAACAAAAAATTACTAAGACACAAAGAGACACGTGAAGTTACACGTGCCTTGCAGTTCAGGAAATGGTGCATTGTGCCCCTTTCCCAAGAACACTGCAGGCCCCACCAAGAACACTGCAAAACAGTGCCTCTGCCGCTCTTTGACCCTGCCATCCTCAAGCCAAACAGGCCCAGGTGAAAAGCACAGAGGTATTACTAGGAACAGACGTGGAAGGTCCTTCTGCAGCGCGGTGCCGGCCCAGACAGTTGATGGGAATAGCGGGGTGCTGGGGAAGTGCTCAGTGTCCTGTCCCCAGTGATCAGCCATGTTTGTGGAGGGAAGCCTGGTTGGGGCTGTCAGCACTTATTTTAATTTTAATGTTCCTTCCCAGCTTGCTCTGTCGCCATCTCCCCGGAACCCCACGGAGCCAATTGCTGTACAGAATAACCAGCAGCTGGCCCTGAAAGTGGAGGGCGTGGTTCAGCACGGCTCAAAGCCAGGGCTCTTTCGCAGAATTCAGTCTGTGTGCCTGAACGTTTCTTCCACACTGCAGAGTAAATCTGGACAAGACTACAAGGTAACTTGGAAGAGGCAGAATTGTGGTGCAGCGTTTACCAGGTCATTGGTGGGAACCTCCCTGTGTTTTCCGTGGTTAAGCGGATTGCAGCTTCATCTCCAGAGGAATCAGGTGGACATAACTTACAGCACATAAGTTTGAGGACACTGTTAATCTGTGCTTCTCTCTTCTCTGCCTGAGCCGCTTAATAGACAAAGCATCCAGGGAGACAGGGCTCAAAGCATACATTTGATCATGATTACGGTTTAGAGCGGTGGGGCTGCTAACTCAGGTGCCTGGCAGCAAGCACACCCAGATTTAATTTTCTCACCCCACCTAGCCCAGTGCACACAAGAGAGACTTACCCTGCGTTCAAGAGAGGTGCCGTAGGGCTAGAGAGATGGCTCAGCAGTTAAGAGCTCTCTCTGACTGCTCTTGCAGAGGACTTGGGTTCGATTCCCAGCACCCACATGGTGGCTACAAACCGTCCTTAACTCCAGTTCCAGGGAACTCTGAAGCCCTCTTCTGATCTCCGCAGTACTGCACGACACGGGTGCACTCACATACATTCAGGCAATACACTCATAGACATAAAATAAAATAACATATAAAATATTTTTAAAAATTAAATAAAAAAGAGGTACCCCGGAGCTAAAGAGAGAAAGAAAAGGGGCTTTGCTCTCCGTGCCTGCTTCCTGCCCTGTAACCTTGTGTTTGTAAGAGCCACTTCCTCCTTTGGGGGCCAGCACAGAGGATCCACCTCCACATGGAGGAGTGCTGCCTGCACATGTAGCAGTGAGATCTGTGAGAAGTCATGAGGGTCCATCCAGCACCTTCATAGATGGGCTCAGAGTCTCAGAGACCCCCTGCCTTCTGGGCTATAGAAGATTTTTGGCCAATCAGCCTAGTCAGATCCATGGGAACCAAGTTCACTGGCAGATTGACGCTGTCTCAAAGAACAGAAATGGAGAGTGATTGAGGAAAAAGAACCAATGTTGACCTCTGGTCTCCACCTAGGAGTGTGAGTGTGCCTTTGTGGTTTTAGGTTAAGAAGCCACAGAAAAGCTGGTGTGATGGCGCACGCCTTTTAATACAAGCGCTTGGGAGGCAGAGGCAGGTGGATCTCTGAGTTCAAGGTCAGCCTGGTCTACATAGTGAGTCCCACCTGGGACTACAGGGAGACCCTGTCTCAAAAAGACGAAAAAGAAACCATGGAAGGACTGGTATGAGCTGCCTTCACCACTTAACAGCTTCTGTCACCCGCACTCTGTCCACTTCTTGTTTCGTCTTTTCTTTTGACTTATGATATAAAACATGTACTTTTAGCCACTCTATGAATATTTGGTGAATGATGAAAACCTATTTTCTGTTTCCTGTATGACTGTTATTGTTGGATGATGTCAGATTTCTCTGGAGAGTGTGATGAGGATTCATGCAGTTTATCCCAATTTGCAGTTCTCTCCAAGCATCTAGACAGGGCTCCTAGCAAACACTGAGAAAATGTAGCTCCAGTTAATATTTAGCACTCTTGTGTTCCAGATACCCATTGACAACATGACCAATGAAATGGAGCAGAGGGTTGAGCCTCATAACGATTACTTCAGCACCCAGTTTCTGTTGAACTTTGCTATCCTTGGAACACACAACATTACAGTGGAGTCCTCAGTGAGAGACACCAATGGCATTGTGTGGAAGACTGGCCCCAGAACTAACATATTTGTTAAATCCCTGGAGGACCCCTATTCCCAGCAAATTCGCCTCCAACAGCAGCAAGCCCAGCAGCCTTTGCAGCAGCAGCAGCAGCAACAGCAGCAGCAGCAGCAGCGCAATGCCTACACTCGGTTTTAACCGTACCATGAGCACAAGCACGCTGTTCACCCATTAAACTAGCAAGGGAGTCTAGTTTTGTTATGCATCATTGCATGAGTGTTACAGTGTGACATCCATTACTCACAGATTTCTATGAGGTGACATTCTGGATTTTTTTTTTTCCTCCTTAAAAATTTCGTTTAAGGGCTGGGTGTGGTGGTACACGCCTTTAATCCCAGCACTCGGGAGGGCAGAGGGCAGAGGGCAGAGGCAGGCAGATCTCTGGGAGTTCCAGGCCAGCGGAGGCTACAGGGAGACCCTGTCTCAAAAAGACCCCCCAAAAAAAATTTCTAAGACTGCCTGGTGTGGTGGCCCGTGCCTTTAAGCCCAGCACTCGGGAGGCAGAGGTGGGTGGATCTCTGCATTCCATTTTCCTTGCATTTTTCTTTACAGTTGGTGAGCTTTTTCTTTTTCCAAGAATAGTCACAGATCATTGAATTGGTTAGATTGCCTGTTTCTCTACCAATGTCCATCCTGTGCTACGTGGCACAGACCTGGACTTCTGAGCTAGGTATAGGAAGGTCCTGTCCAGTCAGTTATGCATCATGCGTAAGTGTTACAGTGTGAAATCCATTACTTGAAGATTTCTGTGATGTGACATTGTGAACGGCAGGGTTCATTCAGGACGGGAGGGCTTCATAGATGGGCTCCAAGTCTCTGCGACCCCTGCCTTCTGGGCTACAAAAACAGCCTGTGGCCAGCAGGATCCGAGCACCTTGCTGTGGCACCACCACCTCTTATCAAGTCTCTTCCTGCACTGAAACAGTCTTAATTTATTGTTTGGGTCTTTAACTGACCAGCTAACGATTACATAGAAAAATTGGAAATTAATAGTGTGGGTTGTTTTCGTTTTGTTTATAATTTAAGGGGACAGACTCTTCCTGTTTCTACTGGATGCGTTAGAAAATGCTCCTCTTAATGTCTAGACTGAGCAGACTAGACTGTGGAATAGCCTCGGCTGAGTGCATAGGGGGCAGAATTTTCTGCTTAGCTAGGAAAGAGTGCTTTTTTTTTCCTATTTCAGCCACAGTTGAAGACTATCTAACAACATACTTCCATGTCTTAAAACACTGTGCCAGGTGCTTCAGCTGTGTCGATCTGTGGTTGCTCAGTGCTTGGCGTTCACCGGCTAGTAGACGTGAGGATGGTCAGAGGACTGCCTGTAGCAGCAGTCAGTCAGGCTGGACACAGCAGGCTGGACAAGACAGGCAGGCATGTGCCCTGGCTCTCCCTGTAAACATGTCTTTCAGCTTCTCCTCAAAGTCACACCAAACCATAGAACTGGAATTTAAGTTGGGACAAGGAAAAAACAGAAACAAAACCCATGACCTCTGGGGATGAGATGTGATCTAAGGTCGCTTTGCTTTATGAGCTGTTGCTCCGGCCTAGCAGATTCTGCTGCCAACAGCAAGACACTGTCCTGAGCATGTTCTCCCCCAGAGTCTCCTGGTTATACTCTCCAGTAACGTCAGGTCTAGGAACATGTGCCTTGGGGAGAACTATCAGAGGACCGTGGAGGGTATGTGTAACCCGGTGTCCCTTCACTGCGTGTGGAAAGCACGGAATCAGACTGGGTTTGGTTCCATTAAGTCCAGAGATTGAACCCAGGGCTTTGTGCATGCTGAGCACCCATCCCACCCACCTCCTCTACCACTGCCTCCATCCTCGAGGAAAAAAATTTTTTACATAACTAATACTGCAGAGTGAATTTTCAGCTTCTAGCACTGTTTCAAGGTAGAATTCTCCAGAAAGGAAGGAAATCTAGTAAGCCACCCGTTTCCTTTACCACCTTTCCAAATTTTGTGTTATTAAAAGGTGCTTTTGGGGCCGGGCGTGGTGGCGCACGCCTTTAATCCCAGCACTCAGGAGGCAGAGGCAGGCGGATCTCTGAGTTCAAGGCCACCCTGGTCTACATGGTGAGTTCCAGGATAGTCGGGGCTACAGGGAGACCTGTCTCAAAAAGACCAAAAAAAAAGGTCCTTTTGATAGTATAGTTATAAACTCCTCGATTTGATATGCTGTGGGACCCCAGTACAGACTTAGAAAGCAAATAAAATCAAAGCAAGTCCCAATGGTTCAAAGAAATGAAAATTACTATGAAGCAAAATGGACTTTTTGTGTATCCATAAGATCCAGGATTGGAATTCCATCTGGTTTTAGGTTCAGTGTGGTATGTGCTGGGGTTTTTGTAAAAATTGTTAAGTAGCCATATGGGGAAAGGATTGTTTATAATTTTAACACAAGTGGGGAAAAAATGCTCAAGAAAATGATATGCGTGTTCATTGACTGGTGGGATCTAGACAGCAAGACTGATTGTCTGGTGTTTAACGCCTTCAGTCCAGCCTCCTGGCTGAGGGCACGGTCTCCAGTCCACACTGCCACATTCAAATCTTAACTTTTTTGTGGTGTTAGAGAAGCTACTTAATCTAGACCTCCCTTCCCTCCTTCCTGACATAGGGAAGTGTGCCTCATGGGTATGTGAAGATTGAGTATCCTATAGTAAGTACCATTATTTGTAAAACCCAAGAATAGACTGCCATGTGGTGGACACTTATTCACTGATTTTGCTGGTGGTATTACCCTCCCCAATGCCATTTTTCAGTGTTAGATCACTTCTGTTGGGTTGGTTATTTTCTTTTTTCTCTTTCGCTGAGGCCAGCTTTGAGCTCTTCCTGATCCTCATTTCCTCCACCTCCCCAAGTGCTAGGATTATAGACATGCACCACCACACCTGGCCAGATCACTTCTTAAGTTTGGCATTCTCTCTTCAAAATAAAAAGTTACATTTTCTCTGCTACTTAACACAGCTTAGGCTACACTCAATAATAAAACATACTGTTACAAATGACCAAAGTGGAATTTCATAACTAAAGCATTGTAAATTGTTGGAACTTTTTTTTTTTGTCTTTTTGAGACAGGGTCTCCTTGTAGCCCAGCTGGCCTTGAACTCACAAAGAGCCGCCTGCCTCTGTCTCCCAAGTGCTGGGATTAAAGGCGTGCGCCACCATGCCCGACTAAATATACACAGTCACTCCTACTGACTATGGATATTGATTCCTGAAAAAACTGAAGACTGCTGTGTTCCAGTTTAAACCAGGAGCTCTTCCCTGGGACCATCAAGCTCAGACTAACCAGGTAGCAGGTAATTTGCAACTTGAAATCGCGTCACTATTCACATTACTATGTGGCTCACAGAGCCCTGCGTTCAACCCCAGTCCAAAAAAGGAAAGTAGGGATGTGGTTCATTGAGAAACCAAGATCAGCCAACCAGAGTCTGATGTCTCAGCTTAAATCTATGACTCACAGCTCTGTGTGACGATGGAAATGTCTTAGATCTGATCCAGATTAGCCACATGGAGCTGCTCAGTCCTTAGATACAGCTAGTGTGACAGACGAACTCAATCTTATGTCTGTGAAATCCAGCCTTGTGTGGTAGTTCTCCACAGACGTGAACGGTGCAGGGAATGAAAAATGAGATGAGGTTCACCTCTCCTCAAGGCCTGTGCGAGTGAGTATGTTGGGATCCTTTGACACTGAAAACTTCCAAGCATGTTACAAGGACGGCGTTCCGTGTGTGTGTGTGTGTGTGTGTGTGTACTTCTGGTGATGCAGGCCTGCATTGCTTAACAACTCCCTGCTCTTTGCACCGTGCTGCCTGGATTATGCCTCTGTCGGTCACAGAAACATTAATGGACATGGGTTGGAATGTATCAAGATGCTCAAAGGTCTGGTGAGTTAGCTTGGGTTTCCTACCAAGGCCACTCCAGCAGGAGGCCTCCATCTCCCTTTCCTTTTGTTGGCTCTGCTGGACTCCGTCCGTTGTTCTGAGATACCTTTCAGTCTAAAGTACCACAAGCAACTGAGCTTTGAATTGTAACTGGGATGGAAATGGAGCAGGCAGGTAACCTTTTCGCTTCAACACCAAGACCTGTAGCCACCAGTTCAGCGGTCTAAGGAAAATTCCTGAGTATCGTGGATTTCCTTTTAAAAACCTGCAGTTACAAAACACTTTACCGTCTAGATCTTTCCTTTATCCATTCCTTCTTACTGGCTAATCTTCCCCCAGAACAATTCTCTTTTTTACATGGGGAGGGTTATTGTACAAGAAGTAATCATCTTCATTGTTTAGATTGGTTAAAGATGGAAACTTGGTGAACTGTGTGAGGAATGCCTTCCTCACAGGTCCTGTCTGCAGCTCCAGCCTTCGCACAGCTTGCTGGAAAATTAGAACAAAAATACTTTCTTGCCGTTCCCAAGACTTTTGTGCTGGTGGGGTCGCCGCCGCTGTTTCGTTAAGGCTGTAAATGGGAGTCATACCAAATTAGTTGAAAAAGATGAGGATGATGAGTGCCCACCACCTACCCTAAGGACAGGGTGCTAGAAAGCATACTTCCTTTGGTTTTCTTTGTGATTCCATTTGTGGGTTTTGCTGAAGCTTATTTGTGACAATGATTGAGGTTAAGAAGAGAAAAGCTGCATTGGGCTGCGTCCTGAGCAGACCGTGTCAAGGATTCCAGTTCCCCGAGGCTCCGGAAGGTGGAAATAGACTGGGGTGCCCAACGCCTGCTCTGTAGACAGATGTGGTCTGCCACCATCTCCCCAGGCGGCGCAAAGGTAGGTGGACAGCGATGATGTGCCAAGGCTCATGCCCCTCCCCCCTTACTTTCCCTTCCTCAAGCGCAGACACAGGGTGATGGGGATCCCTGGAGAAGCTGATCTGGTAGAATGTGACCTCTGTTGTTACTAGAGAATGCAAAGGGGCCATTTCTGAAATCCCAATAGCATCTTATGTGTAGCAGGAGGTGATGAGTCACTCAGATGTGTTTCCTCTATGGCCTGTGCTCCAGCTCCTGCCTCCAGGTTCCTGCCCTGAGTTCCTGCCTTGGGCTCCCTGATGAGCTGTGACCCGGGAGATGTGAGACACATAAACCCTTTCCTCCCCGTGTTGGTGTTATTTTGTCACAGCCATGGAGAACAAACTAGGACACAGCCCTTTTGCACCATTTGGAAAGTGTGCGCCCCTCTCCTTACCCAGACAGCTGGTCCCCACTGCTTACAAGCCAGAGAGGCAAAAGAACGTCTGGGGGAAAGACAGACCCCCAGAATGTGAAGTGTGTGACTGCAAGGCAGTAGGGTGTACTTGTTAAGCTCCGTCTCCTATTGCAGGGCCGCTGCTGCTCTGGCTGTGGTGACTCGGGCACCTCAATGT